CGGGGGCTGCCACCTTCGCCCCGGACCTGGCGCGAGGGCAGCCGCGCGCCCCCAGCGTGAGCCCATCCGGGGGAGGATCTGCGCCGGCCGCGCGACGTCACCGTCGGGATCCTCGAGTCCCGAGCGCTACAGGCGATCCCGCAGTGTCTGGAGGGCCCGCAGCTGACTCTATAGACGCTGCGGCCGCCGATGCCGTCGCCCCTCCAGGAGATGCGGCTGACGGCCAATCACCTTCACCAGCTCACTCGCTATTCAGTGGGGAGCACCGCTTGTAGACGGCGCGGTGTACTGGTCGCCGCCCAGGCCGGACTCGTCGACGACGATGAATGAGTGAGCTTCGACAGGCAGGGTCAGTCAGCTCCTTCGCAATCCTGGCGCCGCCGTCGTTCGGAAACCCTCCGGCGGCTCCACGTGCTGTTCTGGTGCGCTCTGGCTGCTGGAATGCCTTGCAGCGAGCGGGGGCACCTGCGCGGGCTCTCAACGTATGCGAGGAACTCGTGGGGACATGTGAGATGCAGGCCTTGCCGCATGTGTGCCCGACCAGGTCCCAAATCCATCGCGGCGACTCTCAGGCTCGCCTTTGCCCTCGACGCGGTGCAGTGGGGCTCCCCGTTCCAAGGGGCGCTCGTGATCAGCAGCCTCCTTGACGAGGCCATCCGTTTCTGCGCAGCCTCGACCTTGTCCGACAGGCTCGCGGCCTCCATTATCGCGGCCATCGTGGTGGACTGGCTGCGCCCTTTTGGGCCCCGTGAGGGTGCCCAACGTAGATCAGGAGGGGGGCCTCATGTCGGACGAGGCTGCGCAGTGGATTGGTGGCAGGTCCGGCTCCGTTCTAGGGAACCTGGGGCTCGCGCCCAGATGGTTGAGCCTCGCCATGACATCTTGCGCCGACTCCTTCATCGAGTGGCGTAGCGGTTGAAAACGTGGAGGGCGTCATCGGCATCCCGCTGGAATTCATCATCGTGCAGCGCTGCGTGGCCAAGGACCTCCTTGCCAGCATCGGCGGCTGCTCGCCCTGCGAGGCCTTGTTGGGCCGACTGCCGCCTATCATTGCTGAGTTCGAGCCTGCCTCGGAGACTCAGCTGGGGGATCTCTCAGCAGGAGTTCTCGGAGCTAGGCGACATCGCCATCGCCTTCGGGGGGTCGCCGGCCCGTCCATGGTGGAGTTCGCGGCCTAGCGGCGCATCGAGCGGTCCATGCGTGCCCGGGCGCGGCGCGCGACGGAGTCGCGCTGGAACCAGCCGACCTCGTAGACATTCACCGGCGTCCGACGTCCATGGATGACAGCGGCTGGCGGGGGCCAGCCACGGTGATCAACGTCGACGTCGGCGCAGTGACCATCCGAAGGCAGGCGAGGTTCGCGCGGTGCCGGGCGGAGGCCGTCAGGCGCGACCCGGTCTTCCTGAGCTTGCTCTCACCCATCGCTCCAGAGACTGGCGGGAATTATCGCCGACGCAGGCCCTGGCTACGCGGGGTTGGCGCCGTCGGGGCTCGCGCCAAACGCGGCCTGGGTGCTCTCGGACCTCCTGCGCGTGGCTGCCTGTAGCTTCCACCTAGTAGGTTGCGTGGGTGGGCGCGTCGGTCGCGTGATCTCCGTCCTCGAGGGCGTTGGGGAGGTCGACGACAACCTCCTCCTGGTTGTGGCGTGAAGGCTGGTCAGGCCTACCTTGGTAAGTGTATTCTCCTGGCGCGGCGAGGCTCAAGTTGACCGAGATCTTCGGCAAGGATTGGCAGACCGCGTCCCCCCTCCAGTTCCTGCCGGCCAGCAGTGAGCAGGCGGGCTAGCTGCGCCGCGCGGCGGACCTCGCGATCCCGAGGTTGGTGCGCCCATGCAGTGAGCGCCGTTCCACCTGCGCCATTCCTCCGTCGGGGCCTCCGCTTCAACCGAGGCAACCAGGTAATGGGCAATCGAGCGGAGCCATAATAACGGCTCATTAAACATGCCGCTGGGATCCCGTTCGAAAGCGACCTCTCGTCCGGAGCTGGCCGAAATCCGTCCGCGCCCAGTAGGCGCGACGACGGCGGTTTCGTGCCCGCGCCGCGGCAGATCCCCCCTTGATCGCAGCAGGAGCAGCTGCGGCGACAAGGCAGGACAGTGGCGGCGACAAAGACTACCGACACCTGCTCTCAAGAGGACAGCTGGTCATTACCTAGTACAGTTCCCTGACATGCGTCAGAGACGCAGGACGTCAGCGAAATCGGTGTCGGGGTCGTCATCTTTGTCGGCTCCACCGTCTGTTCAACCGCCGCACTCGTTCCCTCGTCCGCGTGCTCCAGCTGCTGCGGCGACGTCGTCGTCGCGTGCGTCGGCTCCGATGCCGGGGGCGTCTGTCTTGCCGATCGTCGGCGGCGTCGGTGCTGCAGCCGACGACCTCGCCCCCGACGACGGCGCTGGCGACTCGCGAGCCACGCTTTACAACGGTGATCAGGATTTGTTCGCGTGGGCTAGAAGGTTACTTGGACGGAGCCCTGGTTGTCCCACTCTGGAGTTGATTGGTGTCTTCAGAGAGCTGCGGCCCGATCGAGATGCTGGGCGAATTCCCCGGCGTGGGGGGGGCCCCCGATGCCGCGCGCGACAGCGGCTATCTCCTCATGGCCGCTGAGGTGCCTCTGCCGTATCGTGGTCAGGAAGATCAGCTCTGGATGTTGACGAGCTGCTCCGTCGTTGGATCGCGGCGGACACCAGCTCCAGCGGTGTCGGGAGTAAGGGTTCAGAACCACCTGTCGAGGGCTGTGTTGTCACTGGCGCTACCGCGCTTGCGGCAGGCAGCGGCGCGAGCGAATCCTATGGCGCCTGCGCTCAGAGCGCCGGGCAGGCGGCCCTCATCGAGAAGGGGTGCAATATCTTCTCGGTGGACGAGGCGTTCGCCAACAATGGGGCCGTCGAACAGTCCATGTTGGACGGGCTCGAGAGATGGCGTGGCTTGGGCTGGTTTGAGCGGCAGCGCCGCCCAGAGGCCCGAAGTCTCTTTGACGCTGCATGGGCGCTCAAGTGGCGGCGCGCGCCGTTGGCGCGGCCGCGAACGGGGCTGATGGCAGCCGTCGGAAGGGCGCGGCAGGTTAAGGCCCGCATGGCGGTGCGAGGCTACCGGGGCGTGCGAGCGTCGGGCGTCGCCGCCGTCTCGGGCACCGCGTCCCGCTGGGGCCGGCGCCTTGTCGTGATCAGCGTTGCGCAGACAGGTTGTTGCCTGTTCAGCCTGGGCGTCTCAGGAATGCCGTGCTCCGAGCTGGCTAAGCTCGACGGAGATATCTCCCACGACGCGGCGTTTTCGGTGCCGCCTGGGAGCGCGCCGTCTCCGGGCTACGCCGACTTCGACGGCCGGAGGGAGGGTTTGAAGGTGCTCCGACTGGGGTTCGGGCTGAGGGCGCGCCCCAGATGGTGGGGGCTGGTGATCGTCGAGGCTCCTGCGGAGTTCGGGCTGCGCACGACCGCGACATGCCCCCGGCTGTTCTTGAAGCGCGGTGTTCATGGGCAGCGGCAGCTCATCGTGTCTACGCGCGTTGACGACCTGAAGGGAGCTGGATAGGACAAGGTGCGCGACGCCTTGATTGCACACCTGGGGTCCAAGTTCGGCGAGCCCATGCGCGAATCGAGATCTTTCGAGCACGTCGGGGGAACTCATGCACATCAGCCTGGCGGCAGCATTTGGCTACGCCAGCGCGAGTGTGCCCAATTGCTGAGATTGATCGACATGGCCGAATGCCAGCGCCAGGGTTTGGACGCACCAGCTCTGGCGGTGCTGGTCGCAGCGTTCCAGGCCTTTCTGGGTGGCGCTGCTTTGATGTGCATGACAAGCATCGCATGCTGTGCTTGCGCTGCGCTACTCTAATAACCCATGCTTCAGACGCGTACGAGATCTGAACTGATGGTCAAGTGGATCAAGATGCACCCGTACACGCTCAACTACAACAAGCTCCAGACTCCGCTCAAGCTCGTGTGTGTCTCCGACAGCTCCTGTAGCGCTGGGGACACCCATGGGGCAGTTATGAGAGGCTGTGTTCTCCTGTGTGTGGAGGGCCGTGACAGCGCTGGCCAAGGCTGTGCGGAGGACCGTGAAACACCAGCCACGGCTGCGCGGCAAGCCCGTGCGGTCGAGTCTTAGTAGGATATTGGTTTTCCAGGGATAAGCCGCGCGTGTGTCGCAGCACGTTTGCAGCGGAGTTTTATGCAGTCCTAGATGCCCTGAACCAGGCGACGATTGCGCAGGCAGCTCTGCATGAGACCGCCTGCGGTGTGGCGAAAGCGTCACGACTATTCGATGTGCGCATGCAGTCCGCCTTGCGTCCTGCCTTCGAGCTGTGTCTGGATGCGCACTGTCTTTGATGCTGTGACTGCGAGTGCGGTTAAAGTGCCAGCAGACAAACGCTTGTCTTTTTATGTGTTTGAGTTGTGCGAGTTCTTGGACACCATGCAGCTGATGCGCTTGTGGTGGAATGACACGCGCATGGTGCTCGCCGACGGATTCACCAAAGGTGCAGTCAACCGCGACGCTCTCACAACAGCCTCAGCGGACACCTGGAGCCAAGACGAGCTTCCACCGTGGTTCTGGCTAGTGGCGGCATTAGCGCACGCGGTGCCGGCTACCAGAACTAGTTAATGCAGTTACCTGCCATTTTGGCCCTGGACAGCAAAACTGTTCGGGACTTGATCAGATATGTCGTATCACATGTTGTTTGGTTCCTTCCTCTTCTCTTTCTGTTCTGTGCCATGATTCATTCACGGCAGCTGTTTGGTCAACTTTTCACAAAACAGATCGATGCTCTCACCATCACGTCTCCTGTCGCCCTGGGGTCGTTGTCGGTGAAGGAGCCTCGGGCGATACGCCCGGCCCGGTTTGACGACGCGTCTGATGATGCGTCAGGGGGCAATTGTCTGTAAGGACGAGGGGTCGAGGGATAATGGCGACGACGTCGACGACCACGACCACGACGACGACGAAAACCACGAGGATGACGGCGCCGACGACGCGGACGGCGGCGGCGGCGGTGGCGGGGCGCAGGCCTGCCCCTCCGGCTACGCGGACATCACGTCGGAGGAGGAGTGCAGCCGCGCCAGGGAGTCCGTGGGCACCAGCGGGTGGCGGGCGGCCCGTGACCTGCGGAGTCACTCTCTCACGTCGTCGTCGTCGTCCTCTTCCGCCGCCTCCTCCAGCTCCTCCTTCTCCGTCCAGTGGTCTTCTTCTCGCTCGACGATGACAGACCAGCTGATGCAATCGGTGCACCATCCCCTCCTCCTCCTCCTCCTCCTCCTCCTCCTTTTCCTCCTCCTCTTTCCCTTCCTTTTCGTTCGGTTTTCCTCCCAAGCGACGAAGGGGTCTCGCCAAGTAGGCTGCTGGATCGCGCCCTCAGTTGGCGTTCGACCTATCCCCGTTTTCCCCAGCCTTCTCCCCCCCCTCTCCTCCCGCTCTCCCCCATTCCCTGCCGCGCTCTTCCCCCCCCCGCCCTCCCCCCTCGCCCTCCCCCTCCTTCCCTCCCCCCTTCCCCCTCCTCCACTCCACTCCTCTCCCTCCCTTCCTCCCTCCCTCCCTCCATCCCTCCCTCCTGCGTGAGAGGATTAAGGTATCGCCACACTGTGGCTTCAAGGTGCCGCGGCAGAATGTGTGTTTCTCTTTCCTCCCATTCTGCAGGTTATGAGCCCTTCGCTTCCCGCGCCCCCCTCTCCGCCTGCGCATTCTCGCGCGTGCGATGCCGGCGACTGGGCGAAGCCTTCCCGTCCCCGATTTCAATCCCGATCCTGATTTCGACGGTTGCCCATCCAGTCTTCAAGCTGTGCCACAATTTGCCTTTGCATGCCATCCTGGTTCGCCGTCCGACAGTCGTGGCATGACGTCGTGCGACTGGACGGCCTGCCAGGACACAAGCAGAACAGTACGCCCAAGTCCTGATACGCAACTCCACATCTGACAGTCAACCTCGCATCTTCTAGTCGCCCTTTGCATCTCATCCTACCTTCTCTTCAGCTGCGCTGCCGAGCACAACCATGTTTCGATTGAACTTGGAGCAGGATCTTGCGGTCGCGATCTCAACGCCTATTCGGGGGTCGAGTTTGTTTCGTGGTACTCAGATGCCGGGCGCACCTGTCGGAGTGCAGCGGGGAAAAAGGGGGAGGTCGTGATGTCCGTCAGCGTCTTCGCAGTCCTCTTCAGGAAATGGATGGCCTTGACTCCCTAACCATCCCGGGAATTCATAACATCGCATCCCCTGGTAGTGAGCCAGTAATCACTATGTCTGCTGTGCGGGCGCTGTTTGATGAGAAACTCCAGCCTCTCAAACGCGACGTTACGGACCTGAAGGAACACGTTAACAATCTCAAGAGCGAAGTGCCCGATACCGAGGACATGGTGAACATAAACATCGCTAGCGTTGTAGCAGAAGCGCGTTTTTTGTTACCAATGGAAGTTGTGGCTACGCCAGAAAGCATGACAGTTTGGTCGCAGGACCTCCAAGACAAGGTTGACAAAAGCATCCACGGCTCCCCCGAAAGAGGCGGACAGTCATTTCTCAGTTGTCACTGGTGTTTTTGATTCCTTGGTACGACGGCGACGACGACGACAACGAAGACGACGACGATGACCACGACGACAACGCCGCGCCGCCGCCGCCGCCGACGACGACGACCACGACGCACGACACACGTCGCACAACGACATCCCATATCCGGCCCAAGACGGTCGCAACAATTCTCCGACAGCGAGTCGCCTGCAATTTCTGACCTTCGTGTCATAATACTCTCATGGGCTGGGCTAAAGCCATAGCGCGCGAGAAGCGCGCGTGTTTCGAGTTGACAATTTCACGCGCCCCAGGGGCTCTTGTTAATCGCAATATGGCGTTCGGGCCAGAAGGTGTGGCCTGCTCCGAGCCATGGGCCTGCCCGGTCTTGCGGGCCCCCCCTGGGGTTTGCAGGTGTCACGTAGTCGGAAGCATACAAATATTTCCATTCCTCACCTTCTTGTTGCCCCTCCCTCCTCCTCCTCCTCCTTCACCCCACCTCTTCCTTTTCCAGCCTCCCCTTGACCACGAGAACCGTGTGCACGCTTTCTGCAAAAAGGGTTGCATCGCAGTCCGAACCGTTAGAGCGCTGACCTCTGGTTCGAGCTGTGGCAAGCGCTTGGCTGGAGGAATAGTGCCCGCCTCCTTCTCGGAGTACATGCCGAGCCACCTTCCTGACGATGGGGCCAAGCTCATCAAGCTTCTCTGTGTGGCGAGTTGAGATTTGATGTACTGTAACTGCGCTGCCGACGGCCTTGCCTCTCACAGTGGAGCTTGTGCTGTCCAGGATGCGAAAGAGCTGGTCGGCCAGGCGGTGGCCATTTACCACCAGATTTTGGAAGTGTGCGCTCTGCCCCGGGTCCCCGCCACGAAGCTCGTACGGACTCGTCCTTCGCGGTCCATGAGGCGGTGGGAGGCCATTGGCTGTGCTCATCGTGCGCATTCGTGTCCATCGATTTTAGCTGGAGATGCCAGGGCTGGTCAATGTGTCAGTCGGAAGTCCAATCGATTCAGCCGCACCGTCAGCTCGCCCTGCGCGGCCACTTCGCCAGATGTGGTGGGACAGAACCTGGGTACCGTCGGCGCAGACGCAAGGCCGACGGCGAGCACCCCCAGTTACGCCGTTTTGGTGTGTATTGTTTCGCCGATCGTCGGGGGCCCCCTCCCCCCCCCTTCCCCCTCCCCATTGACCAGATCTTGGCTGCTTGCGCGACTGGCATAAGCAGACGAAGCACCAGCCCAGACCCAGCCCCCCCCCCTCCCCCACCCTTCGGCCAAACGTAGAAACTCATAATGGAAAACGCCTACATACTTGTCGACGACAGCCTCTGCCAACGCCCCCCAGCATGACCGTTCCTCCTGCGCGAGCGCAGCGCCCAGGCGGGGCGTGCAAGGTGCATGATGCATAATGTCCATGACTCTTGGGTCAATTCGGAGGCTGATAGACCTCCTACCCTGACACGTCGATTAAGGAATTGGCCGTTTTCAGTTCGCGAGAGGGCGTCGCCGCCGTCATTTTTGCGGGTCCAGGTCCGTCGGTTTCGGTCCCAGGCCGTTTTTACTAAAGGGAGATTTACTAAAGGGAGGTTTGTCCACCGCCGATTGATGGCTTTTCAGCCTTGGGGCACATCGGCTGCTGGTCGCAGAGAACTCCGAGGCTTCGAGCCCTGCGATGATGATGTCAAAGGCGCAGTTCATTTCACCAAAACCAATGCTAAAAATGGCAGAAGCTCAGACGAGGCCTCCCTCCGACAAAGCTGCACAAGGAATGGGGTCCTCACCCGGACGGCGATATCAAATTCCACTTCCTTGTATTTTGCTGCCTATGTGTCAAATCCTCTGGATGTTTGTCGCGTAGACGCGCTCTACCAAGAAGAAGCTCCCGCCTCCCGCGTCCCTACCGCTTTTCCGCGTCCCTCCATTCATTCTCCCCCCAAGCTCCAATTCCCTCCTCTCCTCCCCCCAGGTGGCGGGGCCAGGAGCTTAGCGACAGCCCGGACCGTTTGCCGTACTGCTGGGTGGGGTCCCGCGGCTACGCGAACATTGCGTCGTTGTCACCGTCGCCGTCGCCGTCGTTGTGGCCACGGCCGCCGCCGTGGCCGTGGCCGTCTTGTTCGACGTCGTCACTGTGTCCATTGCCCTCGCTGTCGCTGTCGTTAGCGTCGTC